TAAATTAATCAAAATTATAAAATAAAACATTACTCACGGGAATACGCGATACTCTGGCCCAAGAATTACGAGTGATGATTTTTGTTATTGGTTTTTTGGTTTTTGTTTTTAATATTTTATTTAGGCTATTTTTTTTTGGAGCAGTTTTTAACCGCGAAAATTATGTCTGGTGTGTAGGCGTTGGCGGATCCAATGGGGGGGGGGGGAATAGGGTAAATACCCCCCCCCCTTGAGCTTATTATTCTAGAAAATTGCCAAGAATAAAAATAGAAAGCTAGACTTAATTCTTTAAATTTGAATTTAATATTTTATTGACATATTATATACTATTGTGTACAATCTAAAATGTAAATGCATGTAACCTTATTCTATTTTTATTTTAAATGTGTATTTTCATTATTTTGAATTTTTTTATTTTTGGTGTACCATATCTATAAAATTTGTGTTGTTTTTTTAAGTATATAATTTTTATCATTGATACCAGTTTTAAAAAATAAATTCAAAATAATGTTATTAAGTATGAATAGTATCTGTTGGATAAATTTTAACTACTCCCTCCCCCTATGAAAAATTTCTGGATCCGCCCATGTGTGTAGGTAAGCTTTATGTTAAAACGATTTTAAATCGCGGCAATTTAAAACCGCGTCCGCTTGCGAACAATCTGCTTAGTGTGTAAGCGGAAATTGTCGAATATTATACACATTATTTAGGGCCGTGAAGTTAGCAATTCAATGTTAACAGAACTTTTCAAAAACCTCCCAACAATGTTCAAGTATACTTGTGGGACATTATTGGATCCCCAATTATTAACTGTTATGATACATGATACCATGATATATTTTGAACTATCAACTTCATTACATTTTTAATTAAACTCTCCAATAAACTTCCAATAATGTTCAAATATACTTGTTGAATATTTTTGGACATTTGATGAAATTTTATGGACCACACAATATTTTTTATTTTAAAAATTTTTTTACATTTTTTTAGCCATTCTGGGAAAAAATTAAAAAATTAAATAAAGTCGTGTACTTCGTAAAAAGTAAAGTATTATATTCATATATTAGAATTTTTAACAGTGGCGGTTCTGGTAGTATTTTTTCGGTGAGGCAACATAATGTATCACCCCCCCTTCCTCCATACAAAATTAGAATTCACAATAAATGTAATTTAAAAACAAAAATAATTATAATTGTATGAATGCTAATAATATACTTGTTTCGTATAGTAAGTGATAGATAGGTAATAAACAGAGCATTTTAAAATTTGGTGGTCCTGAAAAGGACCTTTTGAGTAGGTATGCCTAGTCCTGAAAATTACTTTTTAAGTTGGTATGCCTAGTCCTGAATAGGACTTTTTAAGTAGGTATGCCTAGTCCTGAAAAGGACTTTTCAAGTAGGTATGCCTAGTCCTGAAAAGGACTTTTCAAGTAGGTATGTCTAGTCCTGAAAAGGACTTTTAAGTATGTCTAGTTCTAAAACTATTAATTAACTAAATTAAACTACCACGTCTGTCACTGGATACGTCATAACTCCAACAGTAATTAATTTAATAATGTTTATTACAATAAACTGCAGCACTCGCACATATATTTTAACGCAGACGTTAAGACGAAACCACCGAAAACGGAAAAAGTGTAAGACACAAGCGAATATTCGTACAAGACGTCAAGACAGAAATGACTAATGAATAAATAATGATAAATATAAAATTATTATCAATAGATATTACAACGGACAACGGTTTAATTATGACTGTCCCGAATCTCGATTGTAACAATAACATCTTTACTGATAATGTGTTTTTACGTTGAAATGCCAGCTGACTATATATTCCTGTATACCGAGTCTATTTTTATTTCATAGGCGATGTAAGTCGAGCCTCACAATGATCATTACGCATGCGCAACTCTAGTTATTTTATAGTCGCGTGCATTCGCGTACATACGCTTGTGTGTGTAATTCATGTACACAATAGTACATACTCTGAGGCGGAGTTGAACGGTGCCTTCTGACGTCATCGGAACATTGCCGCCGGTTGAAACACCAGCGTTTGTTTACGCAATAATTATATTTTCATTCATTTCTTATCGGTTTATCACTATTTTTGGTAATAAACACTAATGATATGATTTACCATTATTTTACAATATAATAAATGATAATTCATATTGTTAAACTTGGCAAAGAAGATTTTTTCTCAAATAAAATCATAAAAACGTTAAAAATTAATATCAAATTTTTATATGCTATCGGTGGGCCAAAATATATACTTTAATAGTATTTTTTACTTAAAATTGTAGGTTAGGCGGCGCCTCACTTGCCTCACCCCCAAAACCGCCACTGATTTTTAACAAATTAAAATTATATAAAGATAATAAACTGCTGTGGTATGCATTCTTATTTTTCAAAGTAAAACAATGAAGTAAAAAATACTAGTTAAATTATATTTAGTTAATACTTTAAAGAGCTTATTTCTCGACTTTTTTCTCAAATAATTGATGCGCAAAGGTAAACTTACCAGTACATAGTATACACATTTCTTAATAATAATTATAAACACCGACTATAATATTTTGACGTATATTTAAAAATTAAATTTTTTTTTTAAACAAAAAATAATGTGTTGTCCAATAAATTTACAATAGTGCAAAATATTTAGAAGCCACAAAAAAAAAAAAAAGATCACAGTTTATTAGCAAATTGATTTGATAAATCCTATGTTTTTATTCTTTTATGTTAGGACTACTGAGGACTATATAAATGGACGTTTATTCTATAGTCAATACCTACCATTATCAATCACTCCTAAATGTCAATATAGTGTAATATGTTATAAGTATAGTATTGTTCGAAGCAATTTGCTCCTCTTTATTTTAATTAATAAATTGAAAATTAAAGTAATATTTTAAATACCTATGGCCTAAGAGGGGGAACTATATTCTCCATATCTCTCTATTGTATCCACTTCTGTGTATCTACCATATATTTTATACTGATTACACTTAATTTCTCTATGGACTTTTATTAGCGAGTAAAAAATTATACAATTATACCTAATTAATTAACTTGGTTATTAATTGATTATCTTCATTTCCAAATATATAGTTGCTAAATTACATTTAAACATTTAAATTGACGAAAAGTTTCTGTACTAATTTATTAAATATGAATAATTAATGGAGGAAGTTGTCGGTGGCGGCAAAAACTCTTGATGAGTTGTGATGCCAATGATGATGATGATGATGATGATAGATAATTAATGCTGAAAGTGAATTTTACTGTAAAATGGAAAAAATATTTGGATTAACCTGTATAAAAGCCGGCTGAGAAGATCGAACTAACTATAACTGTTGCTAAATTAAATAAGTACCTACCAAACAAATTAAATTTATCACATATCTATATTATCTATAAAGATTATTATAACGATATTATACAAATCATCTGTACAAAATAATACCTACTCTACTAATTATGTAAATTGTTAACCGAATTATTTTCACAGTTCGTTAGGTGAGACTTTTTGTATCAAGTATATGTGATTAAATTATTTAATTAGGTTAGGTTTTATTTACGCTAAAAACTTTTACTTATATATAATACAATTTTACAATGGTAAAAAGTAAGTTAAATAATAAACTTAATGTTACAAATATTTTCGTCGTTCGATTTCACGTTTGTCGATTTTGTCAGTTTTACATTTTTAACTTAACTAGTTCAGACAAACTATTTATTTTAGTAGTATCAAACCAGTGGTGCAATCAGGATTAATTTTCGAGGGGGGAAAGAGAAAAAGAGATTAAAAAAACTTTAAAGTTTTCTTTAACGTCCTTCAAGTAATTAATTAATTATTCATATTTATAAACTCAATTATGCGTCAAGCTAAATGTATCATGGTAGTGGTCAAATTCGCACTTTATACACATTTTTAATCAAAATTTTCCATGGATTTATTTATTATAAACTGGCAATAAGTTCATATATTTTCAAACCGAGTTAGTAAACAAAAAGCAGAAGAAAAAATGCAAAAAAGTTCACAAGGTCCCACCGAGATTTGAACTCGGATCGCTGGATTCAGAGTCCAGAGTGCTAACCATTACACCATGGGACCAGTACACTCAACCGAAGTCATCCATAAATATTTAAGCTTATAAGTAAACAATCACATTTATGTATATTTTATATATGTTAACTATAATTTGGATTCAATATTTTAATATAAAATTGTTCCATTTTACATATAATATAGTTCATCTAGTAATAATAGATATTATCTAGTCCAAAATGTACTTTATTTCACGATGTAAACAGTGTGAACTTGGAAATAGTTTGTAGGGAGCCAAACTGTAATAAATTCATTTTAAATATACCTATATTGCCAAAGTATAAAATAGTTTTATATCATATATTTTTTGATGGATTGCAAGGCAACCATAAAGTCAACTATTTCTATAATTAAAATTTGTATTTTCATGTGAACTTACCTTATTTTGATTTTACCTAAATCCTATCAAGGATTGCACTATCTTACATAATATATCTTTTCATATTACACATACTATGTATTTTCATAAATCCTGAACCCTTGTATTTTATATTTCAAACTAATAAAAAATATTGATTACAAAATAATTGCAGCAGGATTTGATAATTGATAAGATTTCAAGGTTTTTGTTAATGGTTATCACAAGTGGATAGGAAGATCATGAAAAACTATATGCATGACACTAACTCTTACTCCAACTCTTATATAAAGCATGATCAAATTATCCTTCCAAAGGCCTATGTCCTAGTTGAAAAATAACTACTATAAAATAAAGGAAGATTAATTGATGCATGAGAAATAATTAATTAATTAAATTTTAAATATTGCTGAGAGTATGATTAATTTCAATTATACAATGTATTATTAGTAATAAGTATTACTATTCAGAGCTATAAAAACAACTATATTAATTAATTCAATAAAAAATACATATAATGAATAACATAATAATTGTATAAGGACCATGTACATAAATATTTTAATTCTTGCAAATATTATTATATTAAACAAATTGTTTCATTCCAACATGTTTATTAAACTTATCTAGAAACAATCTTGGTCCTTGATCTTCTTTTGTTTGTGACTGATTTTGATTAGTTCTATTATCTGGTTTGAACAAATACACAGCATTTGGTAATAGTGACAACTTCATTGGTTTAACTTCATAATCCTCATTATCAATTGATAGCCATTTGTCTTCCTAATGGTAATTAAAAAAATTAAAAAAACAAATATCTTTTACAAAATATATTTTTGTTAAAATTATAAAACATTGATAATACATCTTCATTCTGAGGTCTTATTGTTATGCTTTTAGCTTCTATTATTGAATTTTGAATTTTACTAGGTTCATCCCTTAATTTAGAATAACCTTCTTTTATAAATTCACTGTAAGTTATATTTTCTGGACCAAGATTTATTTTCAAAACTGGTGTCTGTTCTGTATCCAAATTAATATTAACGTTTGAAGTTTTGATGGATGCATTTGTATAACTATTGCAATCAGGATTGATTATTTTTGAATAATCTATACCACCTGTTATTACACTAATAAACTTAATAAACAATAATAATTTATTTTAATTTAATAATAAATACTCACCAGGATTTTTTTTAAATGAAAATGCCCAACTTAGCCAAGAAAATAAATTTGATGATTCATTACTTTTTTTTATGTAACAGTTACTGCAACCAGAACACGGTGGGCTATACTCTAATTCAGCATAAATTGTATAGTTGAGCAAACTGTTACCAAAAACATAAGCAGCAAAATCTCTAAGTTTTCCAAAATACCAATAATGATCACGGGCTACTTTCACTTCTCTCATTGACCCCCATTCAATATTATTCAAAGCATAAACACATTTTTCTGGATTTTTACTCTACATAATAATTTAGATTTAAATAAAAGTAAATAAATTAAAAATAAAATAATACCTGTAGATTTTCAATTTTTACAACAGGATATGCAGAATTTACTTCATTTATTATAGTCATTGTTGCATTAGCAAGAAAATGTACTCTATTATTATCTTGAGGTTGTAACAAACGATGAGCAACATTGTTTGTTCTTCCAAGAGGTAAAATTCCAATTGGTAAATGTTCTGTAAGAGATGTATCACCTTTAAGGCGTCTTAACAATCCAGTGACTACCTATAGTATGTATATAAAACAATAATTTACAAAAAAAAAAAATTGATGATTTAATTTATTCAGTGTTGCTACATTTTATATCCTCACATCAATATTGCTAGTGAATTAAATAATATAATAAAATAAAATAAATACCTCTGATAGAGTTCCATCTCCTCCAGCTACTATAAGAGCATCTGTTTCACCAATTAAATTCTCTACTAAAGTTCTAGCACCACCTTCTCGTTCGGTTGTAAGGACTGTAACGGAATAACCCGCCAAATGTAATAAAGGAGCACAATATTTTTCAAAATCTGATTTAGCATTTCTAGAATAGAATATGAATCATATAAATAAAATAATTATTGTTCATTTATTAACTAAATACCTTTTATTAGCAGCTGGATTTAATATAACTGTAACTTTTTTAGGTTTCTTGTCAACTGATAATGACATATCTCCATACGCCGAAACCGTCCTACAGCATTTTGACATAAACATATGGGTCCTAAATCATATTAAAAATTACTAAATATAAATTATATTTATAAAAAAAATAAACAATGAAGAACAAAATAATAAAGTATTTTACAGAAGTAAAATATAGGATAACATTGATGCATTTATCAACTGATGAATGCAACTGTGATTAACAATTGATGAACTTATCAAATCTTATTGTAAAATAAAATAACATTAACAATGACCGACAAATGAATAAATATTACATTATATTAACGATAGTATGTCAGTAAATATCCAAATTTTATTTAAAAACTGAAACATGATACATTACCATCTAGTTAGCTAAATCAGGAGAAGTAATCACTTACTCATATTTGTCGTTGGCAAAATGTGCACCATATGAAAGAACGGCAGTGAAGAACACAGACTTTTTCCAATTGTTTCGAATAGTTTTGAAAACTGCAAATAGTTTGGCCATATTAACGAGCGGCCAATAATTTTACTATGATACATTTTTAAACATTTATTATCAATGAATGTGATTAGGGACGTTGCGATACCACATTACCATGGTTTTAATACTTTACTCATATCGATAAAAAAATCCTGGTATCAAATGGATAGTATCAAATCATTTACTAATCACCATATTGGTTCAAAAATCAAAAGTATTTGAATGGTCGAATGGTATCGTACAATAATTATTTTCTAGTAAAATGGTTTGAGCGTGAGGGAGGATTTGTATACATAAATCAGTCATCACACTATAGTCTATACCAGCGGTCGCCAACCGGTGGTCCGCGAAAAAATTTAAGTAGTCCGCAGAAAAATTTGAATGTTAGGTACTTACAGAATCTTTTGGTCGTTATTTCCTAAAAATATAAGATCTTAGACATGGTATTATGTGGATAATAGATCCATTGCAGCAAACAATGAAAATAACAAGTTAAATATGACCGAAAAAAAATACCTTATCGATTTATTTAACGATATTTATGTAAAAAGTTATTTTAAGCTAAAAGTGGTCCGTAGAATTTAGAGTATGTATTTAATGGTCCGTGAAGTCCAAAAGGTTAGCGACCGCTACTCTATAAGATTATATTGTATATTTCCATAAATAATACACATAAATTGTAAATATATAATTTGATTTGTCTAAATTAATGTAAAAACCGGTGTTAATCTAATTAGACCATAGAGTAAAGAATGATAGGAATTATATACAATAAAATATACCAATAAATTTAAGTATAATTTATTGTAAATATATTTATCTACATATTTTCAATATATTGTTGTGTAACTATATATTTTTACAAATATAGTGTACTAATGATTTTTCAAGTTTTATTTCGTTGTTAATGATGTTTTACGTTTTAGTAAATAAATGATAAATATATGTAATTATATCATTTACTTAAAAAACTAATATATCAACTATTATATATGGTGGTCCCATGGTGTAATGGTTAGCACTTTGGACTCTGAATCCAGCGATCCGAGTTCAAGTCTCGGTGGGACCTAATGGGATTATTTTGCAGTTTTTTTCTTAATCTCTGCAAAAATTAAAACTATAAATTTAATTATAAATTTATGTAAAATTTGAACATAGTGATTATACTTCTTAAAATAAATACTTCTTTTTAATAATACATTTAAAAAATATTTAGTAAATGATTTTGAACTAAATTTACGACATAATTCTTAAAACATATTTAAAGAAATCATTTTTAAAGTATCCCTTATATTTTAACTATGTTTTAACTAATAATTTACAGATAGGGTTAATTTTATAGAAGCATAAATTAAATAATTGAAAATCAAATGTAGTGTTTTCTGAAATAAAAACAATTAAAAATGCATACCTAAATATAAAATCTATATATCGTAGGCATATAGTCAAATCATATTGACTATAGGGTATACAATATACTCGTACTATCGTATATATAATACGTTGCTTTTTTATGTATAAAATAGCAATAAATAACTGATAAAAAATATATTTAAATTTTCAAAATATTACAAAATGTTTTTTTATTATTAGCCTGACATGAAATATGTATTTAATCATATTCCTAGTCATTTAATTAAATAACTAGACATTTAACTTTATTTAATTTGACTATATGCCTACGACAAATATAATACGGTCAATAGATCACCTCGTCACCAAAAAAACCATAGGTAGTTCCTACTTACCTACAAGGTATCTTGTATGCTGGTGTTACGAGGAGTCTTACTTCTATGTATTAATCAATTTAATTAATACCCAATTAATTATATTATAATCAATGGTTTAATAGTGATAATTTAAAATTCCATTAAGGATATCCATTTTTATTACCTAGAAAATTATAGGTTTTTCAAATTTTTATTTTTTTCTTATGTTGAAAATTAAAAAAGTAATTTCATAATGACGTGTTTAATAAAAACGAATAGCATTTAATAATTTTATAATTCTTGTCACATTATATCAAGCCGTAAACGTAGATCGTATATACAAAAAATGTTGTTAATTTTTCTTTCCCAAAAGTGTTGGTTTTCAGGACTTTGTTCATATTATGCGCTCTGAAAAAATCTTTTGCCCCAGAGAAATATGCAAACATGCTTATGAACAAACGGAAATTAAAGCTGCAAATTCTATTGTGGGGCTGTGGGGATGGTAAAATTTACTTGATTTAAATTGAGGAACATATCAAAATTAATTTTTCACAACTCAAAGAGTGTTAATCAGGAATGAGCGTGTGTAAAAAGTCGGGTGGTGAGGTTTGAAAAAATATCATAACCTTAGTATTGTTGTTTATTAAACCTTAATGATAAGCACGTAATTGGTAATAATAATATTTTGTGGGAAGGTTCTCTTCGTACCGAATAGCCCGACAGCGAGTAGTCTGACGGCGGAGCGGTCGCGACGAATAGTTCGGCGACGAAACGGTGGCGGCGAATTGTCTGTTGGCGAAACGATCCCGGCGAAATGTCCGGTTCCATTCCTAAAACGATTCCTCAATGTGCCAACTAGAATCAACTTTCTATCTTTTACTTTTAATTTTGTGACAATCGGAGCAGCAATTCTTCTGATCGTATTAATGTAAACAACCCAAAAAAAAACATATATCATGGTAAAACTGTAATAATTGTTTTACTCGAATCCTAAATGTGCCTTAAAATTATTTCGTGGTAATGTATATAATTTTTATTTGACTTTTTATCAAATTATAAATGTAATCGAATTTGGTATGAAAAAATTCGTTATGTTTTGTATATTCATTTTTCGTTATCTTTGTTGCCAATATTTTCATGATACTTTATGATGGTATTTACTCAGTACCTACCAGTGGCGTAGATACAATTTTTTCTGTTTAAGAGTCAATTCGTAATATTCTTAGTATATCTTAATACGAGGTCCTATATAATAATATTACTTCAATTTTTAATATATACCTAACCATAGTAAAATGAAAATATAATTTTACTATGATATATAAATATTAATAAACAATAATTAAATATCATAAAAAAAAATCTAGGGGTGGAAACTTTCGTTTTATAATTTAAAAACCCACTAAGAATAAATTTAACAAAAGTTTTTTAAAACAGTATAAATTATAGTTTGTAATACAAATAATAGATTATTTATTTTATTATTTTATTAAATATTATTTTATTACCTAATTTTCCAAAATTTAACTTCTAAGGGAGTTAAATAGGGTATAATAGATTAAAAATGATAATTGCTAGGTTAAATTTTATTGAAGAGGTAGCAAGAGTAAAAAAATTATACTTGGTAGGATATTGATTTATAAATTGTGAACACACGGACAGACTTGGGTAATTAACCTAATCATACCTTGTTATCTTATTGGTTTTATTAATAATATATTTTTATGTTTTATGAAATAACAGAAAATAATTCATACCTACAAAAAACATAAAATAAGAAACAAAAAAAAATTAAATAAATTAAATAAGTACCTAACCTTTTGTATTTTATTAACATTTGAAAATAAAATTCAAATAGGTGTATCATTTACCTCTGATTTTATTTGTTTTAATGAAAAAGTTTAAATTATCTAAACTTATGAATCCTCCTCTATGTTTAACATTACAGGAACTGTCATCACGTTTCCAGTTGGTGTTATTTATTTTCTTAGAACCACATTGACATTCACAATAAATACACTTCATAATGATTATTAATAAATAGGTTCAGCAAAAAAAATCAAATATATGGAGATAATATATCCTACTAAGTTATTCCTTTTTTTACTAAAACTATAAATATTATAATAATTGGAAAACATTTTAGAATGTCACTCTTCAGAGCACATTACACAATGAACATATTAAATTGAAAAATACACACTATCGCATTGACATGTGAGCCGAGCGTATGTTCTGGTTTCTTGTATAATTAATAATAATTTTATATTTTTTTCCTTTCCATCAGGCGGCTGTATTTTATCAGCAACAAGACCTTTTATTATAGAAAAACCCCAAAAATATATTGATGTTATCCATATTCTTATTTAATATTTTAAACGCCATATTTCACATCTTCTGTGACATCACCAACTGTAAAATTATCAATGTCATCGTCATTGTTAATATCTATGTACATTTTATTGTATCTCCGTGAAAAACTATTATACGATTAAGCAAAACTGTTGATTTACATTTGTCAAATATCTTTGACCATGGTGAAAAATTTGAATAGTATAGACCTCTGAGAAGATTTTGTACGTATTCATAATGATTATATTGATTACCACTGTCCCAGTTACATAATCGTTGACTAAGTGGAAACCTTTTTGGTATCGTTGATCGATTCATCTGCTGCAAATAGGGCATCGTTGTCTTTGCCGATGTCGTCATCTTTTCCGGTGCCGTCGTCGTTGTCGTTCCCGGTGCCACCTCCCTTCGATCTTCTTAGAAACTTCTTCTTTCCAGGGAACTCTCTTTCTTCCAGATCTTTTGGGAACCCTTATTCTTACGGATCTTGACGTCAGCATATTGCCAGAGCGTTTGTCATTCCAATCCAACTGACCGGTGGCCAACACCAACTTATACAGCATTATCTTGTAAGAGTTTCGCGTATAGGTACCGCGATATTTGACTTATTGTTTTGTAGTGGTAGCCCGCCTGTGGCTTTGGTCACCTACCGTTGCCTAGATAAAACGAAAGGGTATCGTCAAACCCGATGAACACCTAAATTATAACGTATGCGTGCGTTTACGTGAGGTGTAATAATTTTTTTTTTTTAAATATAAGTTATAGGACGTTGTTGAATAGGTCTAATATGAGTAGTGGCGGACCGGCTAGTAGAGTGGGGAGATTTATCTTCCTGGGCCGGTGACGGTTATCAGGTTTTGCGTCAGCCAAGAAGCATTATAATAATAATATGAATCATATTATATTGTATAAATGTTTTTAACTGTTTGGCAGCCCACACAAAGTTTGTAGTCCGAAATTGAAAATGTGCATTACGGATTCGAGAAGTGTGTACCTACTAAATATTAATAAATAAGACTAATA